TTTTTTTTTGTTGTTGAGATGGGGTCTCACTATATTGCCCAGGCTGGTCTTCAACTCCTGGGATCAAGTGGTCCTCCTGTCTTGGCCTCCCAAAGTGCTGGGATTATAGGCGTGAGCCACCACACCTGCCTTAATTTCAGTTTTTGAGACAGGGTCTTGTTCTGTCACCCAGGCTGGAGCGCAGTGGTGCAATCATGGCTCCCAGCAGCCTTGACCTCCTGGGCTCAAGTGATCTTCCTGCCTTGGCTTCCTGAATAGCTGGGACTACAGGGACACGATACCACATCTGGCTAATTTTATTTTATTATTTGAGACGGAGTCTCACTCTGTTGCCCAAACTGGAGTGCAGTGGTGCGATCTTGGTTCACTGCAACCGCCACCTCCCGGGTTCGAGCATTTTTCCTGCCTCAGCCTCCTGAGAAGCTGGAACTACAGGTACACACCACCACACCTGGTTACCTTTTGTATTTTTTTTTTTTTTTTTTTTTTTTGAGACTGAGTTTCGCTCTCCTTACCCAGGCTGGAGTGCAATGGCGTGATCTCGGCTCACCGCAACCTCCGCCTCCTGGGTTCAGGCAATTCTCCTGCCTCAGCCTCCCGAGTAGCTGGGATTACAGGCGCGCGCCACCATGCCCAGCTAATTTTTTGTATTTTTAGTAGAGACGGGGTTTCACCTTGTTGACCAGGATGGTCTCGATCTCTTGACCTCGTGATCCACCCGCCTCGGCCTCCCAAAGTGCTGGGGTTACAGATATGAGCCACCGCGCCCAGACCAGGCTCTTTTCTTTCTTTCTCATCATTCCAAACACGTGGATGAGCACCTGTGGCGTGTTACGGTCTCATTCTGGGTCTCCTTCTGTAAGGGGCGGTGTAGGAGTCCTCGTAACGCTCCCCTATGGGGTACAAGTAGCCACGCTCAGTTTGGAAATCAATGGATGTGGCTGGCTTCCAACAAAACCTGGACATTGAAATTTGGGTTCCATATAATATTTATGTGTCCCGAAATATTGCTTTCTTTTGATTTTTTAAAACCGTTTAGACCGGGCGTGGTGGCTCAAGCCTGTAATCGCAGCATTTTGGGAGGCCGAGGCAGGCGGACCATGAGGTCAGGAGTTCGAGACCAGCCTGGCCAAGATGGTGAAACCTCATCTCTACCAAAAATTAAAAATTAGCTAGGCGTGGTGGCACAGACCTGTAATCCCAGCTACTCAGGACGCTGAGGCAGGAGAATTGCTTGAACTCAGGGGGCAGAGGTTGCAGTGAGCCGAGATCGCCCCACTGCACTCCGGCTGGGTGACAGAGCAGGACTCCCATCTTGAGAAAATAAAAAATTATTTAAAAAATGTAAAAGCCATTCTGAGCTTAGAGACCACATGAAAACCAGGTGGCCGGTTAGATTTGACAGAGGGTCGTGGCTTCCCAGTCTTTGTCCTCGGTGAACCAGGCAGGCTCTGACCTCATGGAGCTGATGATCAGTTGGGGAAACTGAGTCTACAGAGAGACACCCAGAAGAATATATACTTTTTTTTTTTTTTGGAGATGGTGTTTCAGTCTTGTCACCCAGGATGGAGTGCAGTAGCCTGATCTCTGCTCACTGCAACCTCCACCTCCTGCGTTCGAGCGATTCTCCTGCCTCAGCCTCCTGAAAAGCTGGGATTACAGGCATTCACTAATTTTTTTTTTTTGTATTTTTAATAGAGATGGGGTTTTGTTATGTTGGCCAGCCTGGCCTCAGACTGCTCACCTCAAGTGATCTGCCTGCCTTGGCCTTCCAAAGTGCTAGGATTACATGCACGAGCCACCGCTCCTGCCATTTTTCTTTTCCTTTTTTTTTTGCTCTGTTGCCCAGGCTGGAGCGCAGTGGCACAATCCTGGCTCATTGCAACCTCCGCTCCTGGGTTCAAGTGATTCTCCTGCCTCAGCCTCCTGAGTAGCTGGGATTACAGGCACCTGCCCCCAGACCTGGCTCATTTTTGTATTTTTAGTAGGACGGGGTTTCACCATGTTGGCCAGGCTGGTCTCGAACTCCTGACCTCAGGTGATCCGCCTGTCTCAGCTTCCCAAAGTGCTGGGATTAGCGGCATGAGCCATTGTGCTCGGCCTTTTTTTTTTTTGATACAGGGTCTCACTCTCATTTCCGAGGCTGGAGCGCGGTAGCTGGATCTTGGCTCACTGCAGCTTCCACCTCCTGGGCTGAAGTGATCCTCTCACCTCGGCCTCCTTAGCAGCTGGGATTACAGGCATGTATCACCATGCCCAGCTAACTTTTTGTATTTTTTTCTTTTTTTTTTTTTTTGTCTTTATCTTTAACTCTTTGTATTTTTAGTAGAGATGGGGTTTCACCGTGTTATTCAGGCTGGTCTTGAACTCCTGGGCTCAAGTGATGCACCTACCTTGGTCTCCCCAAAGTTCCGGGAGTACGGGTGTGAGCCACTGTGTCTGGCCAGAATACACAATTTCCTTTTTCTTTTTTTCTTTTTATTTATTTATTTTTTATTAAAAAATTTTTTTTTGAGATGGAGTTTCGCTCTTGTTACCCAGGCTGGAGTGCAATGGCGCAATCTCGGCTCACCGCAACCTCCATCTCCTGGGTTCAGGCAATTCTCCTGCCTCAGCCTCCTGAGTAGCTGGGATTACAGGCACGCACCACTGTGCCCAGTTAAGTTTTGTATTTTTAGTAGAGATGGGGTTTCACCATGTTGACCAGGATGGTCTCGATCTCTTGACCTCGTGATCCACCCGCCTCGGCCTCCCAAAGTGCTGGGATTATAGGCGTGAGCCACCGCGCCCGGCCTGAATACACAATTTCAATTTCACGTTGTGGCTCAAGAGGAAGTATCTGGCTTGGTCTGAGGAGTCAGGAGAAGTCTCCCTGAGGAGCTGATGTTTGAACTGAAACGAAGAGGATACCCAGGGGTTTGCCAAGGATGCCAGAGAGAGAAAAGCGTTTCCCGTAGTCAGCAAGGTGGTCGGAACACACTTGTCTTTACAAATTCCGGTGGTCACTTCCATTTCACCTGCAAAAAATAAGGATGAAGACGTGGCCAGGCGCGGTGGCTCATGTCTGTAATCCCAGCACTGCGGGAGGTCAAGGTGGGAGGATCACTCGAGGCCAGGAGTTAGAGATCAGCCTGGCCAAAATGGGGAAACCCTGTCTCCATTATAAATATAAAAAATTGGCTGGGCGCTGTGGCTCACACCTGCAGTCCTAGCACTTTGGGAGGCCAAGGTGGGTGGATCACCTGAGGTCAGGAGTTCAAGACCAGCCTGGCCATCATGGTGAAACCCCATCTTTATATATATATATATAAAAAAATTAGGTTGGGTGCAGTGACTCACACCTGTAATTCCAGCACTTTGGGAGGCTGAAGCGGTGGATCACCTGAGGTCAGGAGCTCGAGAGCAGCCTGGCCAACATGGCGAAACCCCATCTCTAGCAAAAATATACAAATTAGCAGGGTATGGTGGCACATGCCTGTAATCCCAGCTACTCAGGAGGCTGAGGCAGGAGAATCACTTGAACCTGGGAGGTGGAGGATGCAGTGAGCCGAGATCATGCCCCCTGCACTCCAGCTTGGGTGACAGGGCAAGAGTCCATCTCAAAAAAAAAAAAAAAAAAAAAATCCCCTGAGTAGAGTTAGTTTAACGGGCTTACAACAGTGCCTGGTGTATACAGTAGGCATTCCATTAATGCTTGTGCCTGTGCTGGAATGCCCGATTTATACCTGTCTTACAGTAGGTACTCTGTTGCTAATGATTGTGCCCTGTGTGGTACACAGCAGGTGCTGCATTGATGCCTGGCTCATACCTCATATACAGTAGGAACTCCACTATTACTTGTGCCCTGGATGACCTACAGCAGGTGCTGCATTAATACTTGGTCCGTGTCTAGTACATAGCAGGCACTGCATTAATGCCGGGTTCATACCTGGCATACAGTAGGCACTGCATGAATGCTGGTGCCCTGGATCCCTCTGGGGTCAGTCCCCCCGCCTGTGCTGTTCACATTGGTACCTGGGACCCTCCCGGGTGGTCATGTGCTATATGCCAGGCACCTCATTCATATCTGGCTCATACATCGTATACAGTAGGCACTCCATGAATGCTGGTACCCTGTACGGTAAAAGCAGGTGCTGCATTTATGCCTGGGTTGTGTCTGTTGCTCCATTAATTTTTAGTCCATGCCCGGTATATAGAAGGCATCCCATTAATGCCTGATACACAGTAGTGCCCCACTAACAATTTTTTTTTTTTTTTTGAGACAGAGTCTTGCTCTGTCTCCAGGCACCAGGCTGCAGTGCTGTGGCGCCATCTCGGCTCACTGCAGCCTCCGCCTCCCGGGCTCAAGCAGTTCTCCTGCCTCAGCCTCCCGAGTAGCTGGGACTACAGGTGAGCACCACCACGCCCAGCGAATTTCTGTATTTTTTTGGTAGAGACGGGGTTTCACCATGTTGGCCAGGCTGGTCTCGATCTCTTGACCTCGTGATCTGCCCACCTCGGCCTCCCAAAGTGCTGGGATTACAGGCGTGAGCCACCGCGCCCGGCCCCACTGACGCTTTTTAACGGATGAGAGAAGGTTCCTGTTAGGCAATGTGAGGGCGCTTCCCGGGGGCAGCGACGGCTGCCCAGGAACCTAGAGACCCAGAGAGCGCGGCAACCGCTTGCACCTCTCTCCTTCCCGGCCTGGACCGAGCGAGCCGAGCCGAGCGGGGCCGAACGGGACCGAACGGAGCCGAACAGAGCCGAGCCTGGCCGGCTGAGTCCGCCACATTCCCACAATCCCGGGCGGCCCCGCCCCGGCTCCCGGCTGCGCGTCCCCCCTTCCCACGTCGGCGCAACCAAACCCGCGGGCCCCCCGCCCTCGCCCCGCCCCGCCCCTTTCGCGCCCGCTGACGCCCCGCCCAGGCCGTTATTCCCGCCCCAGCGGTGGGCGCGCTTGGCCGCCGGCCCCTCCCATTGGCCGCAGCGCCTGCCCGTCACGGGCTGCGCTCCCAGCCTGCTAGGTTGTCCGGCGCTGTCGCTCGGTTGCGGCGACTGCGGTTGGCGGTGGCTGCGGCGGCGGCGCGGGCTAAGTGCGGCCGCGCGGGAGTCCGCGTCTGGCGCGGCCCGAGCGGGGAGCCGGCGACTCGACCCAGGCAGCGGCCGAGGCGAGGCGGGGCGGGCCGGCCCGGGGCGGAGGGCCGGGGGCCGAGGCCGAGGCCGCGGGGCCGAGGCGGACGGCGGCCGAGGCGGCTCCGGCCAGGGCCGGGCCGGGGGCCTGGGGGCCGGGGGGCGGCGGCGGGCGGGCGGCCGCGGCGGCCGGGGCCGGGACGATGACTCTGGAGTCCATGATGGCGTGTTGTCTGAGCGACGAGGTGAAGGAGTCCAAGCGGATCAACGCGGAGATCGAGAAGCAGCTGCGGCGGGACAAGCGCGACGCCCGGCGCGAGCTCAAGCTGCTGCTCCTCGGTGAGTGGGGCGTCGGGCCTGCCCTGCCCTGCCTGTGCCGTCCGGGACCCTCCGGGGTCAGCCCTGCCTGTGCCGTCCGGGACCCTCCGGGGTCAGCCCTGCCTGTGCCGTCCGGGACCCTCCGGGGTCAGCCCTGCCTGTGCCGTCCGGGACCCTCCGGGGGCAGCCCTGCCTGTGCCGTCCGGGACCCTCCGGGGTCAGCCCTGCCTGTGCCGTCCGGGACCCTCCCGGGGTCAGCCCTGCTTTTGCTGTCTAGGTCGGCAGCTGGGACCCTCCGGGGTCAGCCTCGGGGGCCCAGATTGTTTGTGGTCCGCTCCTTTGTGCCTTCACCGTTCCTGTTGGCAGCAGGGACCTTCGGGGGGGGTCTGCCCTGTCTGTCATGTCGGGATCAGGTCCCCATCCCTCCCAGGTCAGCTCCCAGTTTGCCGTCCACGTTGGGCAGGACCCTTCAGGATTTGCCCTCTGCCCCTTTTCAAGAGACCAGTCCCCTCGCTGCACAGGAGCTCTCTGATCTTACCTCGCCGACTACCCACCCCTCGCTACCCCCGCCCCCCCCAGCATCTCAGGGCCAGAGCTTTGGGATGTCACCCACTGGTCTCATCCACCTTCACCTCCCAGGGTCCCGCGTTGACCCTTCCCACCAGGCAGAGCCCTGATCCCTCATGCAGGTCCCGTCCACCCCCTCGAAGACTCCTCCGCGCCCCTATCCCCCATTCCCTTAGGGGCTGTCCTCCTGCCTTCCTACTCCGGGAAATCCCATCCTCCTCTAGGCTGGAATCCGCCCTGTGGGAACAAGACCGTCTTTCCTCTCCTCAGGGTTCTGCTCAGCCGAGGGTGGGGCGGTTGACACCTGAGGGAGCCTTTGCGACTTGTCAGAAGCAGCCACCTCGGCAGCCTCCCCCGCCCCCTTCCTTAGAGTCTTGGTGGGAGCCACGTGCAGCCCTAGTGGGGAGCAGCCCCCTACATCCCGGCTCCTCCCCACCTTCCCGGATAGGGTTTGCGCCTTGTGCCTCCTTCTCCCCAAGGCACACCTGCTGCAGGAAGCCAATCAGGCCAGCTGTAAAGTGTTGTCACCCAAAATAAGGGCCCTTGCAGTCGTTTACAAAACATAGCCCTTGCCCGGCCCCACCCTCGCCCTCCTGAGCTCCTAGGTTAGCTCCTGAGCGGGAGGGGTGGTGGGGAAGGTCTGAAATGCATGCAGAAGCAGCGGTGATGGAGGAGGAGGGGGCCCTCCAGGAAGGAGACAGGTCACTTGTTTCTCGGGGAGCAGACTGCCTCTCCTGCCGTGACCCTCCGATGTCCCCCGTTAGAGAGGTGCCTTGAATGAAATACCTTCCTGATTTTTTCCCCCCCAAACTTGTGTTTTGATTTACCTAAGGGTTCTAAAATGGGCCATCTTTCCAGGGGATTCCGGTAGGCAGAGCCGTGTCCCTAATGCTTGGAGGAAGTGTGCAGGGGGCCTGCATGGTGGCACTTTGGACAGAGTGGCACTGGCTGGCTTTTGCCGTGGGTCGTGGACTTTGTGTAGATGGAGGGGAGTTAGGAATTGCTGGTGTCATAAAGATCTTACCAGACGGCCTTGCCCTGTGGCTCTGTGACCTCCAGAACCCCCGCTGCCTTTCCCGCTGCACCCAGGCTTCTGTGCCTGCACTTTGGACTTGAGATTGACACCAGGTTCAAGGACGAAGGTCAGGGGCCCCCACGTCTGCAGCCTTGGCTACCTGGAGCGAGTCTGGGAGTAATGGGACCCATCTTGCATCCTCTGTCCGGTGCCCACCTGTGGCCCAGGGGATGTCCGCCGTCCCACCCCTCTGTGTGAGCCTGGAAGTTGAGCCCATCAGCCTGTAAGATGGGAGGTTGCTGTCAGGCTCAGGCCAGGCGGGGCAGATAGGACAATGAGGAAGACGGGAGCTCACATGCAACCCAGGAAGGACAGGTGTCAGTGCCAAGCAGAGGGCCGGGGGCTGCCGGGGGTTGGGAAGACTTCACACCTGACGTGGTGGGGCCAGGAAGCCCTTTGGGAATCTGCTGTGAGGACCCTCAGGAAACTCCTATCCAAGCCACCTTGCATCCCAGCCGGAGAGTCCCTGGCTTCGAGGGCTTTGACCACCAGATGTCGTGGGGCTGGGGTCCGGGTACAGGGGAGAGGATCTCTGCCAGGCTCCCCGCCTGCCTGTGGGAACTCACTCCACTTTCGCAGTGCGCCAGCCCCGAGCTTGCGATTGCCCCGTTTTTTAGGGAGCAGCTGGAGGGTGAGGCCGAGGCTCCCTGGGAGGAAGGGCTGTTGGGCCGCAGCAGGTGGTTATGGCGCCCGCGCCCCACAGAATGTTGAGACCTTTGGGCGGAGGTCCTGGCGCTGTGCAGGAGGCCAAGCCCAGCCGGGCCTACTTCTCCCTGGAATTCTTTCCTCCCCTGCCCCTTTGTGGTGGGGCTCCAGCCCTCCTTCTCCCGGGTGGCTCCGGTGCTGCACTGTGGAGTGGATGTTGGGGAGGCAGGGGCCTGCCACCCTGTGGCATCTGGGCCCCGGGAGGGTCTCGTGTGTGTGGGTGGTGCTGGTTCCTTCCAGGCTCGGGGCCGCAGGGCTCTAGGGTCCTGCCTGATGCCTGGGTTTGCAACCAGGAGGAGCGTGTTCTGCAAGAGCGTGGTGTCCACGAGCTCTCGTCAGCTGCCTTACGGGGCTGCACACGGCCTGTGAGGACTTTCCATGCCCTATTTCTGGGTGTGGAGGGACCGTCTGGAGCCCTGGAGCTGGACGGGGCTCTAGCAGCCGTGCCTCCTCTCCCGCACTGGTTCCCATGTGCTGTCCACGCCTCCGACGGCCTCTCCGTTACACACAGCAGGTCTCCCACGGCCCTGTGCACAGTGGGGTGGGGCTGCCCTGGGCACCGCAGGGCGCTGATCAGCATCTCAGGTCACCACCCACTCTGTGCCAGGAGCTCCCCGAAGTCATGATAACCATAGATGTCTCCAGACGGGGCTGATCGTCCCTGGGGCGCACATTGCCCCGGTTGAGACTCTTTGCCGAGTGGTAGCGTACAATGTAAGACGCTCGTGGCAAAGCTGAGGGATAATCAGTGCAAATTATTTTCTTAGAAGTTTTCATGAGTGCTTAGAGAGTTTTTTTTTTTTTTTGAGACAGAGTCTCACTCTGTTACCTAAGCTGGAGTGCAGTGGCGCAATCTAAGCTCACTACAACCTCAGCCTCCCCGGTTCAAGCAATTCTCCTGCCTCAGCCTTCGGACTAGCTGGGACTACAGGCATGTGCCACCTTGCCTGGCTCATTTTTCAGTATTTTTGGTAGGGACTGTTTCACCGTGTTAGCCAGGATGGTCTCAATCTCCTGACCTTGTGAGCCACCCGCCTCGGCCTCCTAAAGCGCTGGGATTACAGGTGTGAGCCGCTGCGCCCGGCCTTGAGCATCTCTCTGTACGGTCCAAACCGCGTGTGCGTGAGATCACTTCTGAGCATGTGTGTGGCTGTGTATACGTACGTTGTTTTCTACCAGTGGTGTTCCAGGTGTGTTCTTGTGATGGTGGGGACAGCTGTGGGTGGGGATGGTCACGTACCTTGTGCTTAGCATACGTGCTGCTCCGGCCGCTGTGCGGCGCGGCCATCATCCCGGGGCAGCGTTCCCCAGGCCGGCTGGGCCTCTTCCTCTCGCAGGGCAGTTCTTGGCTGTTACATTTCCGTCTCACTGGTGAACTATGGAGGACCCCGGGCAGTTCCTCGAGGCAGGTTTGTGATTGGAAATGTGAGGACTTCATGGGAAGCCTGTTCCTGGAGGCCTGAGGCTGCTAGCGGGGCTGAGCCGGAGTGGCTCCAGGCTTTCTAAATAAAGCTGGATGGTTAGTTCCGGAGGCTTCCTGTCCTGCCTGCGCCGGCCCCCACGGGCAGTGACAAGGCCCGGGATCCAGCATGGGGCGCGGTGGCCCCACGGGAAGGGCTGGTCCTCTGTTGGCCCAGTGTTGGGAGGCGTGGAGCGTGGCCTCTGGCGCCTGGCAGGGTGGCTGTGCCGTGTCCCAGAAGACTCCGGGAGCAGGAAGCGCCCTTGGATGGCCTCGTCCAGCTTTGACTCCCCGAGCCCCAGCCCAGGCTGGGAGATGTGGGGACTTGGTCTCGTGTCCTGTGCTTTTCCAGGCGTGGTCCGTGGAGCTCCCCTCCTCCTGAGCCTCGTGCCGCGGTGAGAGTGGAGGAAGTGCCTCCCTCCGAGATTTAACCACGAGAGGTTTCACTTTCTGAGTCTTGTGCCCGCTCCTTCTGGGATGGGGACCCTGGGCAGCATGGGGAAGATGCCCTGGCGTTGGGAGCTTGAAGGGGTGTGCGGCAAAGTCCTCTGGGCCTTAGAGGGGCGGTCGCGGGCCCACTCAGCCCTACCCTGTGGACAAAGCGGGGACCCAGTGCCCCTTCTGGTGCCCCAGCTTGTGAGTGGAGGATGGGAAGCCTCGTGTGGCTTACCCGCCTGGGTGATTGAAAGCGGTGAATGCCACTGGCTCAGCCAAGGGCTCTAGGAAGGCCCACGTGCGAGGTCGTTATTGGCAGAAGTCAAGTCCTTTGGCAAACCGGGATCCTCAGCGCTGGGTTGCTGGCTTCGGGCTGGTGCAGATCCAAGTAGCCTCCAGGCCCTGCGTGGAGTGTTTTCTCCCCGGGACCTCCCACCGCGTCTGTCCTCCATAGGGCACCTGGCGGGTCTTCTGGGCTGTCTGGAATTGGCCGCCCTGGATCCAGACTCTCACTGTCACCTGGGCCTGTCCACTTCACCCGTCAGGATGTCAGTGGTCCAGTCTCCCGCCCTCCACCCCCACTCCCTGCCTGTGGGTCAGAAGGCCTCGTTGCTCTCTGCTACCAGGGTTTCTGGTCCAGCCAGGCCTCCTGCGGCTGCCAGGCAAACTCAGTACAGCAGGGGTGCGCGGGGCCTTGGGCCATCCGCAGGGCCTGGGAGCAGTGCGGGGTCTGGGTTAGGTACGTGGCCTTGGGAGACTTGTGCAGAGCCCACCCCTGCT